CGATATTTTACTATTTACATTATACACTGCGTCTCTAAAAAGAGGGTATTTTACGGAACATTTTAGTGTAAATTACGCCCTTTTCTTTTGTGTTCCACAAAAACCAACACGCTAACAGGTATATATCAAAATTTTCTTTTGATACATTGTTTTATTAGATATTCGTTGACGACTGTTCGATGTTTAAACAATACATAGTACAGTTATAATCGTGCCTAATATTTGATACAAATGTATTGATAGATCGGCCTTGACCGTAAGGTGTAATTTAAAATGAAGTGAAGGGTAATCAACAGCAATTTACATTTAATATTTAATGTCCGAGGAAGATAATTAACCTTTGGTTGAAATATAATGTATAAGTTCCCAACATGACGTGGCATCAGGTAAATAGGTACACAGGAGAGGCCTATGTCCCGCAGTGGACTAGTAAAGGTTGTGGATGATTATTATTACTTAAACTATATTATTCATTTATGAGCGATAGCGATAATACAATGGTTGTCGAATGTTTAGAATAGATTAAAAATGAGCTTTATTACTTTACTATCATAGAAAGCCTATAAAAGGGTGACCTTATCGCTAATAAAAGGGTGGCTTTTAGCGATAAGGTCACCCTTTTATAGGCTTTATTTGAGTGGACAAAAACAAGTGTTACGACAAGGTCTCTAAAGGAAACCGAAATTATTGCTGAAAAAAATGAACACTAACTTTATTATGAATAACCAACCATACACACCAAAACGAAATAATGTAAGTTACTATACTTACCTATTGTTAAAGTGTAAAATTATTTTTAGCAGTAACCAAGCACTACTTTGGTTTAACTTACTTAGGATAAAATTGTAGGTAACTTGTACGTTACTTAATCATAAAAAATACTAAATTTTCTAATGCGAAAACGACAAGACAATACGAAAAATACCCTCTCAAGTAGTACGTAAGCACCAGAAGAGATTAGGTGTGGTAAGAATTGCAGTAATACTTTTTTATTAAATATTCCTAAACTTTTTCTAAAACGCAGATCTAGATTTTATAAACGAATTTTGAAAACCAAACTCAAAAGAGAAGAGGTTGTCAGGGGATTATTTTTATGCTATATGTCATTTATAAATTTAATAGTTACTCCAAAAGTTAAGTTTACTTTTGAATTACATAAAGAAATTAATAGATTCTTGAAAATTATACGGAATGCTTAAGTAAGCATATTAGGCGAATTACCCATTACTTACCTTTGCTGACAAGACGAAGGACAGTTAAGAATTACTAAAATCCTTCTTACATCTATAATATTTGTATTTCCGGACCGATACGACCTTCAAGTAAAGAGCGTACTCCATCGTCAAAGGCCGGAAACGCACTTGTGACTCCTGAGTTGCAGTCGCTTTCCATCAAGTGACCCGTATGCTCGTTTGCAGCCTCTTCCATAAAAAAAAGTAATAATTGCTTCTAGGTTAATTTCAAAATTTATACAAGAAATATATGTTTTGTAAATCAGAATAACGGTTTCATTTGCTTGTATACGTACAAACTAGTTTTTTTTATTGCGATACCGTCACCAAAAATTAAATTAGCACCATCTCAGGATTTTTTCACATCCGTGCCAAGACGTTGAACCCATTAGCACATTTACTAGTAAAATGAAATATTTGTAATGTTGACAAAGTAAAGAAGGCGTCAAATAAGCTTCATTGTCACATGTAACGTGTATTTGTTCAGATCTACGTGCGAAAGCTACATTGTAAAATAAAAAAAACTAGAAGAATCTTAAGTCATAATTATAATACCTAACTATTTTAATCCATTGTGAGTTTTTATGTTGGTTTATGAAATATTATACCGAAAGGTGTAATAAAACACTTAAAACAGCTGTATTCTTAATGGCCTTTTTTCGGTTGACGGGGTGGAAATCCCTTCGGATCTGTTGCTCCTCGGGTTCAGGAGTCAGGATTCCATTGAAAACCACCCTGACGGCCAGCCTCAGGCGCCCTACTCTGGGAGGACCCGGACAATGGTATTTCATATCATCCCGGATTTTTAATGGTCTCAGGGGGCAAACTAATAGATGGTTCGCCTAATGGTAGGTTCAATTCGAGAGTCACACGTCTGTTGCCAACTTTTGAGTACCCTTCTCAAAGAATCAATTGTTGTTTGCTTACCTCGATCACTCGGTGAAAAGTTACGAAAAGATTGCTTAACACGCTGGAGAAGCATGAAATATAAACTAAACGTTTACACACACTACACATTTATAAATAATAGCAAATAATAATAATAACTTCATACATTCACAAACGGCAGTCTGATTCCAAACTAGGCAGAGCCATGGTAACCAGCCACCCAAAACTGGCAGCATGTGTTATGGTAACCAGCCTGCTGATAAACATACTTATATATTTTAAAATACATACATATAATAGATAAATTACACCCAGGCACAGAACAAATGACCGTGCTCATGACACAACATTTGTTGTCCTGGCTGGGAATCGAACCACTAGACCCACTGTCACCACAGTAGGTAAATTGTAAGTTACTTACATGTGTAGTTTATTTCTAATATAGGTACTAACCACTCTTATAAAGTTTTTTTTTTAATAAAACATTAATCTTTAATTTTATTCAACACCGTTAGAACAGAACAGGCAATATTAACGAAAATTTATTTTATGGACTCAGTTGTGACGATATATTAATTAGTATCGGAAATTTTTATTTAAAAACAAAGTTACTCTTTTAAACACTTTGTATAGACAATTTGTACCGTAGTTTTGCAAGTGAGTTCCTAGTAAACCATATGTTTTTCGTTCGAAATTTAAAACCAGCATTCGGGTTTAACAAATCAATTTCAAAATTAATAAGAATCAGACCTCTCATTTTGTGGCCTTCGGTTGGTCTAACGATAGTATGTACAATCGTAGGTACTTACAATTATAGAACATAACCAATTTTTTGTTTAAGTATAGTATGATAGTTCCTATAGTTACGTGGTAAATCTCTTACATATGCTTTAATTTCTATAATCATTTTTTTCTTAATACCCTCAAACATACTCCTTACTATACATATCTTTAAATATCATTTTACTTGCCTATTACACAGTCACTAACTTCTCAAGCCGACCGTACAAGGAAATTTTGTCAAAAGCCTGTAAGATAACGTGTGATTACACCGACAACCAGCGGCTACGGTTAGTGACTTAGGAGTAACACTGCTTACTAGTTGTTTTTTTATTAATCAATCAATCTTTATTTGCTAACCAAGTGTACATAAATGGTCTTATAATCATAATTTGTATCTACTTAAAAACTATATGTTAAAACTATAAAGGATAAAGTATAACGTGGATTTCTGGATAACCCAGTTTTCCCACTCCAATTTCCGCTATAGGTTTATAAACTGTTCTTTCAACCAGAAAACCCACGATAAGTTTTCACGCTGCTTTTTCAGTGTAAACGGCTTTATGATTATGTAGATGCAAATTATAAAACTTGAAATCGCTGGTTCTGTAAATTTAAAGTATCTACGTATACATTTTCACGCAGTCGGGTTCAATACTAATTAGCTTGTTATTATTATTAATTATCAGAGATTGGTCCGAAATACATAAAATAAATAGGTACCCTAAGCGTCTACAGAATACGACTCTACATTGTTAAACATGTAGAATATAATAATATTAGTATAATTTGGTACATGATCTAGCGCGATTTTAAGATTTGACATTAGATCATCCTTTATCATCATCATCAACAGCCTTTAATAGTCCACTGCCGGACATAGGCCTCCCCTTAGAAAGGAGGTTTTGGCCTACTATACCACGCTGGCCAGACGGGTTGGCCAACAAAATATACATAAATATAAAGAAAGACACACCTGAATACAATGTTTCAAACTACAAATTGACATACAGAATGAACATTGACACTATTTGACACACATGTAACATGTTAATAAAAAAAGAAAGTTGTTGCCGACGTCGCATTTATTTGTATGGTGTTATTGCCACAGTTTTGTGTTTCAAAGGGAAACCAGATCTTTTCCACAGCACTTTTACGATTATGATTTTGAATTAATTTATGAATTTATCAATGTGATATAATGATATCGAATACACTAGCTTTATTTTTTTATCATATTAAAGAAACGTCGGTTGTATTCAACTATAACTCTAATTATAATTAGAGTTCTTCAGTTTACAGTTATTAAATATCTCGATTACACTTCTACCACTTAATGCACGTATTGGCTTAAATGTATCTATATCACAAGCTCTAAATATAAGAAAAAATAAGACCTGATTTCCTATTCTGAAATAGGAAATACTTACCAAACACTATTCGTAAAATTGTTATCGCTAGAGACGAACAGAAAGTTAAAAAAGTGTTTTTATATAACAAGAAATTGTACTAACACCAACTTTATGTTATTGCCTGCCGTTAAAACCTAATTTAATTGTATAATTTTCTAATACTTTATGTTTGCATGTCAAAATTGGTGAAATGTGACTATCCAACTTCATGTTACACCTAAAAGGCTCCCAATGCGGCCCTATCCATTAACGCTTATTAGTAGCACTTTAGTTAAAGTATAAATGTAAAGTATGGTGCCATTTTCTTTAACACAGCTATACAAACTAGTCTTATAGAAAAAAAACAGAGGTACCGTCTGAATCTTTATGTCAATCTGAATGTCTATGACAATAATATGCATGCGTATTTACTTGATTTAACGATAAACATAATTTAAATGAAATTGTTAATTATTTTGAAATAACATTAAATGACCTTATTTCGATATATACTGACAAAATATTTTCAAAAAACGACTAAACTATTTCATAACATTTATGTCACTATTGCCTGTGATCTTTTAGAGGTCTCACATTATTTTTTCCCCCTTTTTCACTCCAATCAGAATCGTTTAGTCGAACAAAGACAAATGAACAGAATTAAAAAATCTAAACTTTTTAAGGAAGTAATCAAACTTTATTGTTACAGTATATTTACGAGAACAGCACACACGATGATGGTTTGCTGTCTCGAGAAAAATTCATGGAGGTCAACGCGAGAATGGAAGCCAGAAGAGCATATCTGAGAGCGGAATGTTCTAATTTGGGCCTAGGTGGTTCCGGTCAAAAGGCCAACGCGTGGGAATATCTAATTAATAGGCAGTACCATGTTATATGGTAAGTCAGTGTCACCAAAAATGGATGTAGTTAAAAAATCTCAAGAGCCCGATATTAACCATTGTAGTTAGTGCTCCTTGCACTATCTACAATGGTTTTTAGGGTAAAATTTGTATTTCTTGTCAGTATGTAAACAGATTTTTATTTTAGGTGCAACGTATTCAAAGCAGCGTCTACATCATGGATGTATAACTTTAACTTAATGGCAAACTATACAGCAGCATTCTTAGACAAAACCAAAGAAGTTCCTTTAGAATTGGCTAGGAAGAAGTACGCGCGGCCTACAACAGAAATGATCAGAAAGGCACAAGCAGATTCCATTACTTTCCTGATAGTCAGACACCCTTTGGAAAGATTGGCTTCAGCATACAACGATAAAATTGTACATGCGTGGCCTAAATCGTTCCACGACAAAATGGGACAAAGGATTGTGAACAAGTATAGGAAGGTATGTTATATTTTTAAACAGTCTGTACGAAGCGCCACTTTATAAATTAGGACCTGAAGTTATAAAAGAAAACAATAATTATGACACGATGATTAAGTATTTATTTGTACTTGTCGGGGAACCGTAAGTTTATTAGTAACTAGCTAAGGTTAGTCAACTTTGAATATAAATCGCCGTTTATCAACATTCTTCTGGTATCATGTCATCAATCATAATACACGTAAGTTTAAGCTTTACTTCAGAGATAATAATCATAAGAAAACAAACAAGGTTATCTTAAAAAATACCGACCTGTACAAAGTTTGCTGTACCGTCTCAAAAGACAGAATAGACTTTTAATCTTTATGTTTTGCACCATCGTTGGTTTAAAATAACGTTACATTACTACTTCATTTTTAGAAAAATGGCAGTCATCCGGTTCCAACAGAAAGGTATCCAGTATTTGAAGAGTTCGTCTCTTATGTGCTAGACGAAGCTAAAGGGAAAAGGACACTGGATATGCACTGGACTCCTTACAGCAGTTTTTGTACACCGTGCAAGTTCCATTTTGATGTCATTCTCAAATTTGAGACGTTGGATGTAAGTGCACGTTTGGTCAATGTAAATCTTTAAAAATATACGCTAAAAACATGAATGTACGCAAAACGCGTCATAGCCACAGGCTTTATGTTCACTGGAAACGAAATTTCTATCCGTGTGCAGTGCCTTTGTCGTCGATGAGACCTAATGTGTTGTTACATTAATCTTATTTAATGTCCTATCAATACCAGCTTATATACATCAAAAATAAAAAAGACGTGTGGCACTCGGGGACTGCCGCGGTAAAGCTATTGCATAGCATTTTGTATCAACTTATGCAATTATAATTATTTATTTATTTTATTTATGCAGTATTTCTTTTTCTTTGATATTAATTCAAGTTACACTTTTTGAGCGTGGTGACCGATAAGAAAACATTTTTTTTTCTTTTATGAAATAAAAATATTGAAGCATATATTACAATTTGTTTTTAAATAAATAAATAAAAAATATTATTATTAAATCAAATTACATATCCATGTAAGATTTTTCTGCATTATGTTGACGAAATTTCCTTTGACGTTCAGCATTTGATTTGGGTACTGTTTTTTGTTTTGTTTTTAGCGTGAGGTTTTTTTTCGTTACGGAATTTCTGGATTCGGTCCCCGCGCTCAAGGCCCTCGATAGAAGCTATGCAATAGCTTAACACTTAAGTTTTTAAGTAGTACTTGTTACTAAGTGGTAACCTAGCAGGTTAACACATGTCCAAAGCTAAGTAATCCCAGCTTGGTCAGCCGATGGGTAGTTAGAGCCCTAAAAGGTCCGACAACAGTCTTTCTACAGAACTTCGATAGGGTTGGGGTAGGTAGGGGATTCGGGTTGTGGAGGTCTGATGGCCGTCGCTCCGCGTAAAAATTCGAAGTTCAGCCGTATTGTAGTAGACTTAAAGCCAAACCTAACCTAGTTTGGGAAAAAAGACTCGGAAGAAAAATGTGACATCGACATAGGAAAACACAAACAGTTTTAAATAAAAGGAGTTTCAAAGAAACAAATAAGCTTAAAAGTTATATGCTATTTATTTCGACACGCTCTGTAAAATTAGAATGTTGCCAATGACTCAATATGCGTAGGATCAACGGTGTGGAGAAAAGAGATTTGTTGCGGCAAATCTCTTTTGCAGCCGTACTTGGCACATAATTAGTGTTCACAAAAACAAAACGTTTAAAGCAGAAGAGTTCTAGTACTCCAGCTATTAATACTGTAATAAATTGCTCCAAAATATTTTTTGAACTTAATTAGCTATTCACATAAACGATTTTTTTTTAACTGTAAATTTACTTCTATAATTTGTTTTTTCTAGGAGGATCAGCAATATTTGATCCAGTTAGCTGGACTGCAAGATATCGTAAAACCAGAGTGGCGCAACAGTGGAAAGGGGCCCAACACGCGTAACAACATCAGTCATCTTTATTCGCGCTTGAAGAAAAGCCAACTTGATGGCCTTTACCAGCTTTATAGGTAGATAATAATTATATTTTACTGCAGGGTGGAATGGAACCTACAATAATTGAAAAATAAAGTGATTTATTATTGTCATGGAACACATATAAAAACAATTTCTCTGATAGTAGTTTAGAACCTCGTCTAGCGCCTAGAAATGCGTTAAGGTTTATAGTGGGTAAACCTATCCATACTTACCATAATTCTATTCATCTACATCTGGTTAAAAATTATTGCACAGTAAGTAAATTTTTTGACAAAAATGCAACAAATTTTCACATATTTTGATACATTTGATATTTTAGACATAAGTTTTTTTCTACTTAGAAAACGGAGTAAACGTTTGTCTTCCAACTCACTTGAAGAAAACTGAGGCTGAAACCAAAGGATTATCAGAAAAGAAACCTATTAACGCTACTCTTAAAAGTACCAGAATTATAATCGTGTTGCGTTTTAGTCAAATAGTGCTTATTTCTAGCCCACGTTTGGTTTTAGAAATTTTTCTTACACGTTTGCGTTTTTAAATTTAACATGATTCCGAGTAACATTATACTGTTTATTTCAGAAATGATTTCCAATTGTTCAACTACACCATAGATAATTACTACATCATAATACCAGACCAGACGAGCAATGACGGATGAATCGGCTAACAAGGAGTCTGAACATTACATCAATGTGCTTAATATGCATACAATACAAAGCATCGACGATTGATGAATATCAGTGAAATCATTCATCAATGAAAAGACTGATTGCTTAAATTTATTAATGGACGTTACATCGGCCGATTGCAAATTGAAACAGTGCGTTGTACGCAAATTTCCAAATAATGTTGTTGTTTGTAAGATTAACTCTAAGCAACGTGTCTTATTTTAGTGTGCACCATAGTTTGATTGGGAGTTTTAAATTATTCTAAATGCATTTGTTGATGAAATGTTTTTTTTCATATTTGTTTTCCATAAGCTACATATTTGTATAACAGATTATAAGAAATCGTTATTAAAAAGAACAACACAAGGCGGTGACGTAATAGCGTTTCATCAATCTCTCGTTTAAAATATTGTTAGGTTTTATGATAAATATTATAAACTGTTGAGCTATGAAAAATATACGTAGAGCTAATAGCTGAATTTATTTGATACTGACTCATAGGACAAATGTAAATACGTTTAAGTTTTGTAATGCAAACAAAATTCCTTAGTGCTTCCATAAATTATAGAGCTATGCAACTAACAAGTTGTATATATGTATTACATATGACAATCACCTAGTGTTTATAACATAATGACGGGCGGGAACATTTAAATAAAAGCGCTTCTTGTTTTTTTTTATTTTGTAAAATCTAGGAAACACATTACTACTATTATCCAAATCTTTGATTTAATATTTGTTGTATTTGTATTTGTTTCTGATAAAAAAATATATGAGAGAATAGGGTAAAACAATAAAAACCTGCAAGAAATTCCAGTAAAACCTTCATATGCTTACAAAGAAAACATTTTATTTTTTACATTATTTTAAGAGTGACAGTTATTTTTATAATCAGTTGTTTGTATTGTAACCGTTGTATTTTGGCAATTCGATATTGTAACTAAATGTTCAAAATTGGACCTTGTCAAGTAGAAAATATCGTACAACTTATTCATTGTGAAAATAATTTACAAAGAATTATGGAAGTTTAATGACAGTTAATAAATTCGCAAAAATGTTATCGTGGAAATAATTCTTCAGCTCTGAGATAGTTTTATAAACGTTCTAGTGAAGACAATATTAATAAAAATGAGAAATAAAATACTGCGATCTGAATAATGGGTAGATATTTAATGGCTTAAAACAGGTCCAGTTATAACATATGTACTCGTACCAACCTATTTCAAAGGTGCCTTTTGATTGTTGTATTATTTACCTTTCTTAATTATTTAAAATTAATCATGGTATATGCATAGCAGTCCGTATTAAAGTTGGTTAATAATAACAAAACAAGGAAAGTCTGTTAAATTTAATAACATTTTAGATTATAAGTTATGCAATTCGTTGTTTTTGTGTAATTGTGTAATGTCGTTATGTAGTATTATGCTGTTGAATTAAACGTGAACAGGAAGTTTTTAAGTCTTCTTCAGAATAGATACGAGGGTATATCTATTAAGCAAACGTACTAGTCCTATTTGTCTAATAAAAATAAAAGTTTTAAATCGTTAGACACTCGCTTCACCTCGTTTACATCGTACGAAAATGTTAAATGTTAATGTATTTTGAACATCATCAAAACGTTAGATGATAGAAGTCGGTTATTTCAAACTTCCAAATGTGACACGTATAGATGTCAAATTACGTTATTTATTAATGTCGGCGTTAGGTTTTATGTCGATAGATACAATTTTTAAAGAGGCTTACTTCTAACGATTTAAATCTTTCAGAATGTAGGTCAAGGTATATTATAATACTTCTAAGTATTAAAATAAAAAAACAAACACCAATAAAAAGTTCCAATTTCGTCGAAGTTAAGTTTGTAAATAAATCAATTTTATGGTACGTAGAGAAATATTTATTTTTAAGTACAAATAGTATTTTAAGAATGCAAACCTATATTGTTTTATTGTAAGTAGTTGTTGTAATTGTAATATCTAGTTTAGCAATGTTCATATACTTTAATGTTCCACAAATAGTTCCCCGGTTACCATAGTTGTGTATTTCATTAACTTGTTTCCAAGATTACAAAAGGGAAGTGATAACAGATACGTATCTGTTATCACTTCCCTTTTGTAATCTTTATTTGTAATCTTTGTAATTTATTTTTCTTTATTTGTAATCTTTGTAATCTTTACAAAAGGGAAGTGATAACAGATACGTATCTGTTATCACTTCCCTTTTGTAATCTTCTGATCCATCTTATCTTACTTATCGGGCAAAATAATAATTGCTTCTTTTGCTAATCAAATGGAGTTTAATCAAAAAAAAAACATTTAAAAGATAATGAATAAAATATTTAATTAAACATAGATACTTTAAAGTACCTTAAACAAAGTCGAATAGAGGTTATAAATCAATCAATCTTAAATGTATGCAGGAAGGACTAGAGCAGCTTACGATTTAGTTATATTGACATTTATTTATAGATTTCGACGTTGATCACAGAGAGTCGTTAAACTGTAACGTAGAACATTTTAATATCCTCTGGTTTTTCAACCCTTGACAGGTTGATAAGTTCTTGGTATGAAATACAAATTCTACTAAATTGTTAGAAACATACGACTGTCTCTCTAGTATTTGAATGAATGCATTAGTCGTAGTTACATTTTAGGTCCTACAGCTTCGAATAAATTTGATTAGTGTAAAGCCAATTTATTAGAAACTTTTTCATATAGTAACCATAATTTGCCCTTTAATTCGTTTATAAATAGTTAATATGGAATGAATTAGACCAAAAAGATATGGCCTATGAAAGTAACTGTTTTGGTGCTATAGTCATATAGATTTTGATCTCATATCAGAATGTGAGACGCGTAGCATGCACAATCGTTGCTATACTCGTATTACGTAAAGCGTTATAGATTCCAACGGTAATTGAGTCGGTTGTGTTTATAATAATGTTAAAAAGAATTATTCTTAGTACTTATAGAAAAATAAAATTGACTATTTAATAGTGTGCTGTTTTTATTTATCTATTTCTACAAATATTCATCATCATCATCATCAGCCTATCGCAGTCCACTTCTGGACATAGGCCTCTCCTATTGCACGCCACTTCTATCGATTTTCGGCTTCTCCATCTTACGCAAATCGTCACTCCACCTAGCCTAAAAAAAATGGCCATATAGTATTTTGTTAAAAATCTAGTTTATCAAATTAATTTTAATCAATACTTACATACATACAACATTAATTGCCCTGACTGACTTATTTATCAACGCAGAGCCTAACTGCCTAAGACGCTGGGGTGGGGCTACAATCTTGGAATTTTGCTGCAGCTGCAGCTGATGCTTTTTATATTATAAGCATCCATATAAATGGTATATATGGTAATAGTATGGTAATATGGTAATGGTCATAAATGGTTTAATGAAATTTGACATCTAAGAAGGTAAAATAAGGGATGAACAGTTGTATGGAAGTTCACACATCACATCACAGCCTTTAATAGTCCACTGCTGGACATAGGCCTCTTTTTAGAAAGAAGGTTTTGACCTACTACACCACGCTAGCCACACGGGGTTGGTGGGTTTGTGTGCCTGAGGGCCGTGACCGAAGAGGCCGTGAGCAGTGGCGGCGTGCTGTTGGCGGTGTCATTAGACATCGCCAACGCATTCAAAAGTCTGCCATTCAGCTGCATCAGGGAAGCACTCCACTATCATGTGGTGCCAAAGTACCTGAGGCGGCTAGTGGCAGACTATTTAGAGGAGCGTACCGACGTGTACGAGGACCGAGAGGGTAATTTGAGGTGTCGGCCCATGTCGTGCGGTGTTCCACAGGGGTCTGTTCTTGGACCGCTCTTGTGGAACATAGGGTACGACTGGGCCCTTCGAGCCGATTTCCTCCCCGGGCTGGGTGTAATTTGTTACGCAGACGATACCCTGGTGACAGCCCGGGGGGCGAACTTCCAACAGGGCGGCGCGCCTGACCACAAGAGGAGTCTCCCTGGTGGTCGGGCGCATTGAGGCGCTTAGCTTACGGGTGGCCCTAGATAAGACGGAGGCCCTGTTATTTCATGGGCCCCGTCGTGGTCCACCCCCTGGCGCCTCAATCGTGGTCAACTCGGTCAACCGGTCAACCGGTTCGGGCCCAGATGAAATATCTGGGCCTGATCCTCGACGAGAGGTGGCTCTTCGACGAGCACTTCCGACAGCTTGCTCCAAAGCTGGTCGGCAAAGCGGGTCTGACCGCCCAGAATAGGGCACGCCTCTGGCGCCCTCAGAGGGTAATGGCGGTCAGAGCCATACGCGGTTACCGCACCGTGTCGACGGAGGTGGCGTGCGCGTTGGCCGGAACTCCCCCGTGGGATTTGGAGGCGGAAGTGCTCGCCGAAGTTTATCGGCGAGTGGCTGACTCCCGGGCGGAGAGCGGATTTCGCCCTCCGCCCGAAGACGTGCGCGAGTGGCGCGAAGCCGCTCGCCGAGCCACGATGGCTCGTTGGTCGTTCCGGCTGGAGACTCCATGCGCTGGCTTCGCCGCCGTGGAGGCTGTCCAGCCGGTCATCGCCGAGTGGGCAGGGCGGCAGCACGGGACCCTTACCTTCCGGCTGACGCAGGTGCTTTCCGGGCACGGTTGCTTTGGGAAGTACCTGCACTCGGTCGCTAGGAGGGAACTGAGTCCCACCTGCCACCACTGCGACTGCAGTGAGGACTCGGCCCAGCACACGCTGGCGGTCTGCCCCGCATGGGCGACGCAGCGCCGGGCCCTCACTGCAGTCATCGGAGTGGATCTCTCGCTACCGGCCGTAGTACGCTCCATGGCCGGTAGCGACAGTTGTTTTACCGCGGTCGCAACCTTTTGAGAAGGCCCGGGAGGACGACCTCCACTCGGACCCGATCCGCCGCCGGCGAACCGGGCGGCGGAGGCGCGCCTATCACCGCCTCATGCCGCCCTGAGTGTGGCCGCGGGTAGACGGGGTGGGTTTCCCCTCCACCCGCATTAGTTTGGCCAGCCGCGAGGGGGCGGCGTTCGCGTGTGCCGGACGTCGCCTAAAGAGAGGAAAAAACAAAAAAAAAAATGAGACGGAGCCTGCACCATGAGCGGGCTGGCGCTAGGAGGGGTCCGGATGTCTTAATAACAGCTGTTCCCGGATCCCTCGTGTTACAGGCGCAGAGTGGCACACCGTGTGGTTTTAGTCGGTCCGAGTCCGACACACCACCCCGCCGCAAACCCCGGTGGGGTGACGGTCCGAGGGGATTTCCACACGTTAAAAAAAAAAAAAGGGTTTGTGTCAAGTGTACCTTCTCTTTGCAGTCCTGTTGTCCTGCGTAGTTGGCTGCCTTAGTCGGCACTCACGACACCCAAGGGATAAATAGGGGTGGTGACAATTCGTATTTTTAATCCGTCACCACACGGATGAAGTTCGTCATTTTCAATGTAAGAAACACGAAATAAAAAATGATTCGAAGGTAGGTATAGGTATTGTATAACTAGAAAAACACGACACAATGGTTAACCCACAGAAATCGTAATAATATGTCTTATTATTACGATTTCTATGGGTTAACCAAATTAAAAAGTGGAGAAGAGTTCTACTGCGCACCTCCTAGCTTCATTATCAGATCATCGTTACAATCTAATCTGTTTGATTCCAGCCATACGTGTGCCATCTGTAATTCGCAAACAGCTCATCTTTAAATAACGAACTAAACAATATTTTTATAAAAACAACCAGTTGGATGCAACAACCTACAAATACATTTTTCAAAGACCAAATCAATGACTTTCCACACCTATGAAAAATCCCCTATAAATATTTATCACAGTTTCAATGGCATTAAACTAGAAACTAGACTTCTTGGTCTTAATATAGACACCCATATAAACGGGAAGTCCAACGTAAATAAAATAAAATCTTAATGACATGTAAACTGCCGTGACAACCTATTATGCGTATGCTATTCACGGTTCATTCATTTCAACTTTCACCCTACAAAAATTGGAATACTATTAAACATTAACGATACACAGAGCTGTGGAACTTGTTTCCAGAAACATAACATTCTTACACTACCTTATATGCGTATATATTTCAAATATGCAAATTTGTTCGCCAGTACCCAGACCTACAACAGAAGGGACCTTAAACCTGCCAACCTCTAAACTAACGAAGTATCGTCCGTTTGCCATGTTGATCAAAATATAATAACAAGCTCCATGATACTATTTAAAGTGAAAAAAGCAATATTAAATTTCTTAAACTACAACACACAATAAAATAACAACAATGATTACAATAAAAAAATACTTAAACCTACTAATCACCATCAGATGAGTCGTCATCACCGCTCTCCCATTCAGTAGAATATTCAGAGAGTAAATAATCCTCCTCATTTAATTCGTGATGATGACTTACTGATATTGTTTAGGATGGCAATGCAGGTGGGATAATCAACTGCAGAAAAACCGATGGCAAAGAAGTAAATTTTCTTCGCGGTAATTCTCTATACGAGTTGATAACAGAATCAGACGTAATTAAAAGCATTCTCAAAAGATCTGTATTTCTACATACTCTAGGTTTATCTACATACCTCAACGGTTTGTAATTGAGATATGATTTGAATCACTTTAATAAGATATTACCTACTCCAAAATTATACAACTTTTGAAGAAGTATCTCATGATCTAGAAGGTTACGAATATTTTGAGGGGTCTTTACCGCCAGAAAAAATTATAATTTAATTCATGGTTATCTATAAGACAGCACCGAAGTTTGCGGGCGCTGACTATGTTGCACTCCCTTCTCCACACACCTAACTCACCTACTTACTTAACAAACCACCTGCAATATCTCTGCTCCAACCATGACAGAAGCCTTCGCTCCGCGGATAATTTCCTCCTTCTTTGTCCTTCACATAACTCCCGCATCGTACAGTCTTCCTTCACTGTCCAAGCGGTAAATCTTTGGAACTCCCTTCCCCTAGAGATCAGGACATCCACCAACCGAACAACCTTAAAGATCAGAGTACGCAAGCTCTATGGAGACTTGTTGACGGAGTCATCAGAATAACCCCTCGTGTCTTCATCATTGCAGGCATATATGTATGGATGTGTGTGTGTATGTTTTTTTATATTTATAGTATTATATATGTAGTACGTATAAATTAAATGTACATCTATATATGTATGCCCAGTATATCTGTGTAGTACAACATCTTGCAACCGACTACAATTTAAATAATTTATCTCATTATACACCTCACACACACTGCATCACCTCAAGGTTGACTGGAAGAAAATGCCTATGGCATTAAGTCCGCCTTATGCAATATATTTGCAGGAAGTATAAATAAATAAAAATAAAATATTAATATGTTATTAGCTTGGTATGTACCTACTTATGTGTGTAACGGAATCTTCGAAAGTGATTTTGACCCACTTCAAAACATCAAATTAAATTGAAGGACCGATGACAATACAATAATGTGATAAATTTTGCTGATTATTCTGATCAATATCTTTAGGATTAACGGCTTTTTCCATACCAAAAAATACAGTACCGTCTTTTGCTACGTACTGAGAGGCGTGTGTTGAAACATCTATTATGTGACTAACTTACTTATTACTTTTTAGTCTAAATGAGAAAATAATCATCATTAATGATAAAAAAGCAAAGATATATTAGTTAAAAAACTTAAAAAACACGCTTTTTTAACTAGCCGAACTAAGAAGTAGAAAATAATACTCTATAAGTTCAAAAAGAAAAATCATTTTATCGTAAAAAGGCGTGGGGTGCCGCCGGGAGAGAGCAAGTAATTAAATTATATTGCTACTCTTTAGTTCCTATAATTATATATATTTTTAATTGATAATTATGATAAAATTATAGGTAGATATATTATGTAAATAGATATTTTTGTTTTTGGTAGATACCTATCTTGTAATAGCTGTTACTACTTATTAGGTGAGTATCTGTAAGTATGTTACATTATTTAGGCAATAGAGTATTCTTAAAAAAATCTCACTTACGTAAATATTTAATGATAAATAATGGAGACTAAGCTAATGAATGTTCTGAAATACCTAATATAATTAACAGATGTCATTAGTTTGCGTTAATCGAGAAACTAAGAAACAGCATCGTGATTTTTGTGTGTACGGTATTGGTTTTTCTGCTATCTTGTTTGTATTATACATATGTCATAGGTATCAGACTTGATATGCATGTAGGTATTGAAGCACCTGCAAGAGATAGTTTCATGCACAAGACCCATAATAAATTTGTCTATTGTTGTTGTCTTCAAGTAAAATCTACATAGGTTTCTAAGTTCACACCCTAGGTTTATTTTTAAATGTAATTTAGTCCTATAATAAAAATTAATATGCACATCGTGGTAATTAAATATTCACATTAATAATTCTTACAAAAACACATTCTTAATGCGAAGGAAAAATGAGATTTCTTTTAGATGAATATAGCTGAATTACTACTACTGTGTGGAAGCAAGAGTCGTTATTTACCTATATAATTTTACGGAGTACTTCTCCTGTACTGGTACTATTATCTGTTCTGCGCTAATAGCTACTAAAGTTTTTACTATTCATCTTATACCTCTATCATCAGATCCAAGCATAGAGCAACACAGGCCACCGGCTGACCATGTTGCTCTATGGATCCGAGATACCAAATTATAGTCCATCCAAACTACCTGCCTACACAAAAAGTTTCATTCTAATTTTACAATAAGAAATACATTAAAATTATCTTCCATTGTTTACATAGTTAGTAACAAGTAAAGTTACTAAAGGCGTGTTAAAAATACGAAGCCTTCGACGTGTTTACTACCTACTCTAAATTGACTGCCTCGGTGGTGCGGTGGTAGCGTTTGAGACTGCTGTTCTGAGGTCTCGGGTTCGATTCCCCAGTCGGACCAAACGTTTGTATGATCTGCAAAATATTTGGTTCTGGGTGTTTTCTATGTATAATATGTATGTCCATATTTACAAACAAGAAGTATATAAGTATTCTTACAGAAAATGTATTTTATCCTACGAATAATAATATCTCTTATTATTTATAGCTTTCATCGCACAAACTCTGCTTGGTTTGAAATTAAATGGCGTTGTGTGTCAGATGTCCGAATATATTTATTATTATTAATAATAATTAATATTAATTTCCTAAGGAGAGGCCTATGTCCAGCAGTGGACTAGTATAGGCTGTTGACGATGATGAATATTAATAATTAATTATTAATATTAATTAATATTATCCTACCAGGTCTCGTCACTTCCAACTGTGTTACATATGACGGTGTGTGTAAAAAAAGACGAAGGAGTATTCATTTACTGACCAGAAGGCACGATAAAGCTATTATAGTGGCCAATGGTCCCTCCTGGCCGCAACCAATTGCCCATCTATTACAATGAGAAAGGAGCCTCATTTTCCTTATACAACTAGCCTGAAATAGGCTCCGTCGACTGTGAACTTAGTCTAAATTTCAATGAAGAGGCACTTCGTCGAGCTTTATATCGAACAATATAAATGAGTAGGTAAAATGTAAGTTAATATTAAGAAACCACAAATATATGAAATACTTTTAATTAACAATGACCTATACTGTAGATTGTACTAAATGCATTGGGAATTGAGGTAGGTATTCCCTTTTCTCTATCACCTTAGTTTTGTTCCTGTAACAAAATAAAATAGATATAATTAAATAGATAGATAGAGGACCATTTTGAATTTAATATTTCTCTTTAAAAAGTTCAGGTAAATGCAGGGAGCATTTCTAATATCATCATACTTATGTTGTATGTATCGTACACGGTGCTTGAATTATGTAATGTGCATTAGCTGTTCTTTTAAAATTAAATGAGTATGTTTTTTAAGAATGAACTGCTTAAAGTAATACAAAAAAGTTAGAATTTCATTAAATCAGTGTCAGAAAATATTTTTATTTTATTGTATAATGTCATATTAATAAGTGCATGTTTGACAGCAGTAATGTGACGTCAGGGCAAAGTTTTTATAGAAATTTGTACCGTATCTACCTTTGTTGTTACAAAAAATATGATTTGACAATCATCTATTCTATATGATGACCTAATATGGTACAGCAGAAGTAAATCTAGATAATTCGGCTAAGTTCACGTTGGAACTCCAAGTTTGGATCCCTATTACAAAAGTACCTGTTCGACCTCAGTTTTAGGTCCCTTAGGACCCTCTTTAAAATAAAATAATCAAGGTGCTTGTTGGACCTTCAACATTTAAACTATTAGTAATAAAAGTAGTAGTAGTAAAAGGACCCGTTGGACCTCTTTTTTAGAACTGTTTGGACCTCGAAAAATGTGTGTTCATTTGGTTTTCGTTTGATGATATTTTAGTAAGAACAGGTACAGTTATGAAAATTAATAATCGGAATTCTTAAAATTTGGTGAAATAACATAAGCAAATTCGGGCACATTAGGGTCAGTCCATAGAAAAAGTATTTGAGAGAAAACACAAGGAATTGTAATATTTTTTTCTTTACATTGGAAGTTTGGACTGTTTAAACGAGCACTAAAGTAAAGGCAAAATCTAAGTGTGAAGGTCCAAACGGAACAAGGAGGTCCAAAGTATCATATTTGTCGATGATGTCGAAACTTGGAGGTTCAACGGGTACGTAGCCGATAATTTAACTTCTATTGAAAATTTAACTTGATTTTTGTTTTTTTGCGTCCTATTTATACTGACAAAGGCGGTCACCTGTGTTTGTCAACCGTGTTTCTCTTCTTTATTTAGAAGCAAATAATACGCTTAACCATTATAAATAAAAAAAATACTCACTCAGCCTTCCTCTTCCTTTTAGGTATTTCGAGTATATCAATAGGATCAGTAGTAATTATAACTTTTCGAACTGATCCAAAGAAATCAGTGATGGGCACTTTGCTTGGATCTCTTTTAAATAAATCTCGACGAACTCCTACTGTTGATATGCAGGCGCTCTTTGGACATACTGCAAACTACAAGAACAAAATTGTCATTGGAAAATTGACCCCTAATCTTAATTGCATACATATAATCTGGCCGCTAAATACCTGGCCAATTAAAATGAGCTTAAATAATATTGCTTGAACTGATGAGCTATTAAACACTAGTGGTTTGACGTTTTAGCATTAATGTATGCATACAAAAATACTTACAAATTCTGACATTGTCCTTTTACTGTTAGGATGCACATTTTCCAAAAACTCCAGAACATAATATGTGTATCTGTCTATTATATATACACCGATAGCAGAATCTACATGGTGCTGTAAATAAAAGTGAAAATAACATTAATTAATAATTTTTAAAGGACTTCAAAAAAAGGAAGAGGTTCTCTGTTTAGCTGTTTTTTGTTTGCTAGCTATGTTATAATAATAGATATACCAATTTTTCTTTTTTTATTTGATTCCATTCAAATTTGAAGTAAAATTACCACCCGTAATTCTAAAAATGAATGAATCATCACATCATAAATCACAATTTATCATGGAGAAAAACAGTTTCACCAAACCTCTTTTAAACATTATTTATTTTAAACCTTATTTTTGTAATATAAAAAAAAAACAAGTTTGAACTCTGTGAATAGAACACATAAAACATAGTGTTTGTTTCAGTTTGATGTATGCTTTATGTTTGTTTTTAACCCACTTCAAAAAGAGGAGGTTATCAATTCGGATGTTTATATTATTATTTATGTATGTTCAGTCATCCTCCATTATTTATTTATCGACGGATTTTTAAAATTATTTTTTTAATTGAAATGAGTTTATGCCGAAATGGTCCCATTTAACTTTTATATGGATCTGATGATAAGGTTCGGAGACAGACAACAATCTCTTCAAAAAATGACAGCAAATCAACCACAACTGCTGCTAGGTTTTTAGTGCTCTTTTTTAGTATTGTTTGAAGTTTAAAGAAAGAAGAAAAATTTTTAAAAGGTTTTCTTTGTTGCTTGTAAAATAAAATGTTAAGCTAATATACTCACAGATAGTGAATCTTCTCCTACTAAACTGGAAGCAGTGGCTAATATATTTGGAGAATAAAACTTCTCATACATGGATGAAGCCTGGCAAGTGTCTATGAGAAAGAATATCTCATTGTACCTGTGGTTTTATATAAAAATAATTAAGTTTCAATTGGCCCAATAGAACACGAAAAAAAAAATCGAAGCAAATTCAAACAGGCCACTATAAAATTTTATATTCTTAGGTATTTCATGATTTAATTGTATTCTAAATAGAAATGATCTCCACCATTACCTACTAACTTTAAAAAAAAAATATATATATATAATTTAAGATACAGATGATACAGAAAGATCCAGTCATATTCAAAGTAAGTATAACTGTAATGATATAAGTATTTTATTACCCAAAGAGCTGCATTTTTGCTTGATTGATATTTAACTTTTAATAGAATAATCTGAAGCATTTTTGTAAAAAAAGTGTATAATAATCTAATTACTCATATAACTTTCAATGTTTATTTAGCTAGCTACTTTAAAAGAACTAAATCAAAGATTACAGTGGTGTTTATTTGATTTATCCACATTAATAAAAATGCCTTGAATGTATATATGTTATATGCTTTTTTTATGCTGAGATTACTTTCACGAAGCCCAAACAAATTGTATTCATGAATTATGAAATACAGATTGATTCTAAATTAAACCATACCTCCTCTTTTGCCACATTTGCTCTAGAGCATCAGCTAACTCTTGACTAGTAATTTCCTCAGAGTCTTGAAACTTAAGGAATCCATCACCTCCATGACCGGTTAAGTAGATCAATATATTGCTACCTTCATCGGTCAGTAATCTCTTAGAGCGAGGGGTGTCAGGCGGAACTCTACCTGTAAGAAGCCTTACAAAATTTTCTACAGAGACCTACAACAAAAATTGTAAAAATCAAACAATATAATTAAACACATTAATGTCAAGAGAATTTTAACTCAATATACACCTTTCTTTCCTAATCTAGTACACTCATAAAATTATATCATTGTGTGTGTGAAAAGTGTTCAAAGATTCAATTATCCAAATATTCATTTAAATTCTAGAATTTAATAAGTAACATTTAAAACACAATTACTTTCTTTTCAAATTATTGACACCAAAAATTGTTTTATTTCATTTCAATCATTTAAACTTTTTGCCTTGCCAATACTGACAGGACAACAAACAGTAAGAGTAAAGTTTATTCTAGTGTGACTAGTAATACTGTGACACATTGAGGCTGTTATGATAAACAGATTACCTCAAAACCAAAGTAATTTAAGTATACTATTTAGGTATATAAAATATTATGTAATTTGTGGTTTTGATGTGCTTGTAACCATTGCCTCCAAATATATTACCTAATAATTTCGATACAATTTTTTTACGAGGCCAAAACATAAGATAGAGGATCTTACCTCATAACCTCTATAGTCTACTTCAACATCATCTCCGTATACATTTATTTGTTCATGAGCATTATTAAAAATTGTGGCTGGGCGCGGGTTCCTCGGGTTACAGGCCATATCATCGGATATCATTAAGATAATTTGACTATCGGGTATGCCCAGCCTCTTCACACTCCGGTAAATAGATAAGACATTCGCTACATGACGGTAATTAAACCAAAACCGTGAAGTATCTACTAAAACTGCCCAATTGTTAGAGTGGTTTGAATTCTGAAATTCATTAGGTATCTAAAACAGAAATTATTTATTTCAAAACAGGAATGATTGTATGAAATCCAATCAAAGTAAGGTGTTCTATACCTCTAATCCATAACTTAATGAAAAACTTCCAGCAACTGTAAGTAGGACATGATATAGTTTACACGAAAAATACATATCTACTGCATTGAATGTTTAAGGTCGTTTTCCTAAAGTATCATTTATTATATTGCGTGTATATTTTAATCTCATCCAATTTTTATTTTTCAGTGAAGTTCCTTTGTCACTCAAACTCCAAAATGACAGTGTTGACAGGGCCATTGAGTCTTAAGTTACGTTTCGTTCCCTGAAATGTAATTTTAGAGTAAAAGTTATATTATTGTTTTTTTTTAATTTGTTATAACGCGAACGCTTAGTATATTTATATATCCTTTTCGAAAAAAAATCGGGATATTTAAGTCTACTTTTGCTTTTTGGGCCGGCACTTTTTCCTTTGCAAGTTTTCGACCCGAGGTTTCTGAAAAAAATACTTGATTGACAAATGAGTAGTACATAGCATAGTACGGCGAGCCTTGACAATAATACCATAATTTTTTTACGGCACTTTGATTGATTTCGCAAAGCTCAACGAGAAATTATTCAAACATCTAAAAGATGCTCGCTCATATTATCGTATCATTATCAATAGGTACTTATTAATACGTTTAAGATAGGCACTCGTATCACGATAATTTGAAAAACTTTAACGCTGAACTTACTTTGCAAACAGTAAATGTAATCAATGGAACTTAAACAACCAGGATAAGCTTCATTTTGTTATAGCGCCTAGAATTCAGAGCTATCTTTCGGTGTGATATCATATCACAAAAGTTTTCATTTCAAATCACTGATACGGAGTAAAATATTTATTGGACGCGCCAGTTTTCAGCACGTTCATTTTGTATGAATGCAAGCAAGTCGGTTGGTTGACATTCCGATTTCAAGCAGGGAGCCCATTTCAGAAAAGACCTGACTAGACGTAGAAGGAGGAATTGATTAAGTTGGAGGTGTAAGGGGTTGGAGGGGTATAGATATTGTTTGTTGACCGATCATTTCAGACGTGATTTTAGAATAAGCAGTAGAGATGGAGTACCAATTAGACTAGTAGACCCATGAAAGCAACAATTCAAATAATTTGATTTAAATCTGTTTGCTTAAACTTAACTTAACTTAAAACTTACATTACAGTCGTGGCTACTAAACACTTATGATATCGTTATATAGTTATGAGCTATGTTATGTTAAACGACTTTACACAGCTTGTAATACAATACAATACCAACTGAAATTAACTTGAAAATAATTTATTAAAAGAACTGGCTTCTAAACTGTATAACCTCGTAGCCTAACCAGAAAATAATTAAAAAACAAAACGTCAAAATAGAAAATGGCTGTCAAGTGTCAATTTTAAATGTCGCTCAAAGTCGCGTAAACAAGATAAACATAAGCGTATAATTAAATTTAAATCATGAGCAGCCGCAATCCTAATACGCTAATGAGCGTTCCTGATGAGCAGTTTGATTATTTGTTTAAAATAGTTCTTATTGGTGATTGTGGCACGGGGAAAACATGCATTGTGCAACGGCTGAAGTCAGGTAATTTTATAGAAAGGCATGGAAATACAATAGGCGTCGACTTTTCAATGAAAACATTGCTAGTGGATGGGAAGAAAGTCAAGGTTAGTCTATTTGTGGGAAGGAATACTTATGTGTGTGGTAGTAATGAAGAATGTTACTGAATTTTGTTATTTATTTTAGCTTCAGATATGGGATACGGCAGGACAGGAGCGCTTTAGAACCATCACCCAGAGCTATTATCGTTCGGCAAATGGTGTAATTATTGGTAGGTACGCAGAATACGCCCCCCATTTTTTTTCCTTAATAATGCTAGGCAATACAGCCATACACTCAATGAGTCATCATTGTTGTTTAATTTTGTTTTATTTATTTAAACAATGATTTAATTTATGGCGTAGTATAGTATTACATTCTGCTGCAATTGTAATGACATCATCATCATCATCATCAGCCTAACACAGTCCATTGCTGGACATAGGCCTCTCCCATTACAATACAGCCACTTTATACAAAGCTGCTCAGCATAATAACAAACTTAGGATTATTGCTTATTGTTACAAAACAAATACTTTGATCATGATGGGCTTAATAATTACGTAAAACAATAATTATATTAATAACCACTCCACACATTTCACACAATATGGTAGTCTGAACCCAAAGAAGGTAGAGCCATTACTAACTAATTAACCACTAGAAGTATATCAAAGAATGTGTTGTAGAATGATCAGTGTCACAGGTAATGACGGCAATATCATGAAAATGTTACACTTAATTAATACTAAGCTTGTGTCAGTCATAATCTTACAAGTGGTAACTTCTAAACAGAATGCAAGCTTTAGCTATGGCTTTTGTTATATAAAAGGATTGGATAGAATACAAATAATGGACACATGAGCTGCTTGATAAAGACAGAACTGTTATAATCTAATGTTCAATGATTGCTGCATTCTTAAAGCATTTTCCTTTTTTAACATAGAATAACTTGACCCTTGAATGGAATTGTAGTGAACTATTCATATTATATTTACATGATATGTTCTTAGTTACTGTAATATGTTCCTATAATTATATTTATTCACTCTTACATTGTTAAGTGAACAATGTTGTTTATTTACATTCTGTCATACATAAAAACATTAACAGGTCACCCTTGTGCCAGCTGTTATTGATAATAGCATATTTAATGATATCTAAATAACATTCATATTTCAGTGTATGACATCACTAAACGATCAACATTTTTGTCTTTACAAAAATGGATTGAAGAAGTTCGAAGGTATACATCATCCAATGTGATAGTGTCACTGATTGGCAATAAATGTGACTTGACTGACCAGAGAGAAGTGGAGCCTGATGAACCTCAATCGTTCTGCCGTTATGTACCTGAAATCATGTTTGTAATGGAGACATCTGCTAAGGACAACACTAATGTTGAAGACACATTCCGCAGTTTGGCTACAGAACTAAAGGTACTTATTATTATGTTTAGTACAAGAAAAGAAGAGGCTCTCTTTATCCTATTTATTATGTCCAAATTATTTTCCTTACATCTGGTGTTAAGGTGTTTTTTTTTGTCTGTAGCTTCAATAATTTGAATTGCTGCTAATTGCTGATTTGCATAGTGGTATTTACATTTCAACAACTGTTAAAATTTTCATGTGTTTTCTCAATGAAGATAGAGTGCATAATAATAAAAACTTTTTACCTATTCTATGGTAACCAGTCTGCTGTGTATTAAACATGCTTATATATTTCTCAATACATACATATTATAGATAAATTACACCCAGACACAAAACAAATGATGCTCATCACACAATTTTTGTCCTGGGTTGTTTTGTCGAGCTCACAACCTCTGGCTTAGCAGTCAGCGTCACTTACCACTAGACCAACAGGGCCATCAGAAATAAATAATAAATGCAGAATACCACTTAACTTGACAATGACCTTCTTTCTATCTCAGATTTTGGTTAAAGGTTTTGGACGGTTCGCCAATAGCTAATTCGAGTTCTGAAGCCCAAGTGCGAGTTTATTTCACTTCTTCTTGATCGTCACGGTGACGGCATTCTAGTAGAAATCTACTAACCTAACACTAATCACATCGATGTGAAATAAACTTGCACTCAGCCCTCTGCTTGATCTATTGCTAAGATTCCCTAAAGTGCCCATATAACCAAATCCCTTTCCTAACATTGTCATCTCTTCTTATCTACCTTTACGCTCAATATGCTCCGAATATTTCCCATCCAATTCCTAGAGAGCCCAGTTGAGGGTAATAGGTTTACCCCCTATTATTGATGTAGGGCTAAAACATTATAGCTGGCAAAATGTGGACGTTCAATTAAAATATATATATTATACGAAACAAGTTGTGACATAACCAGTTTATAATTTTTATTAACTTCTTAGACTTTTGTAACGATTCACGAGACTTTTCTTTGATTCATATGTTGATCTAACGTAACAAAGAAACGAAAATTGCCAGTCTGGCTTGCTGACCGCTTAAAATTTTGTTTACTTTCGGAACACCGTATAATATACTAGTCGTCTCTTTATTTATATTTTCCTTCACCCTGGCTCGCCCACCCATGCGCAGTGTCTTAATACTTTTTCCTGTCTCTCCACCGAGAAGCTACAGACTCCTCCATTAGAGGAGTATATGACGCCCAAAGACTAGAGGACTTCTAGTCTCTGGGCGTCATATGTGCTCGTGGCAGGTATGGAGCCTTCATGTGCCTAATGTGTAAGCCATTACTTACTGACCTACATACACTACACACCGTAAGCACACCAAGTTGAATGGAAATGGTTAAAAAAGGTTAATAATTACCTAGAGCAGAAAAGTAAAATACTGGTATAATTGCTTTCTCAAGCAACTGACAAAAGGGAAAATATAAACGAATTCACAGATTATAGTAACTTTTTAATTCATTTCAGTAAGAAAAAATCAACGTACAAGTCCTAAAAATACTCTCCCACAAAACTCTATACTCTATACTCTCCCACGCTTTCATTCATCCGTAACAAGTCAAGTTTCCAAAAGCAAATTACAATTTGCCATCGCGAAAATATATTTTTTAAATCATATAATAACAAATTAACGACTTCCGGATTTCTTTCTGTACTTGTACTGTGTGTTACCTTGTTGTGTTAATGAATATTAGATTATTGAATTTGGCAAAAAAACAAGGTCACTCGGAAGTACTCTGCAGTTTTTGATTTATGTACACAATCTATAACTTACATAACCATATCTTTATTACGTGGACTTATTTTACAACTTTGATCCGCAAACACCAAGTATATATTATTATTCAACTCAATACCTCCTTCGTACCTGAGAAAAATGTCTTAACAGGTAGACGGACAGAAAGCAAAATGATCCTTTTGAGGAAAGGAACTTTAAAAAGGACCCGAAATAAACTAATGTGATTTTATTAAAACAACTATTATGATAAGCAGTCGTTAATATACCTCCTTGTCGACTTTCCTTAATCATAGGTCAGTTTTATGAATTGCATTATTGGGACTGCTAGTTGTTAAAATCCATGACAAAGAGGTAACGTAAAGGTATGTCAAGATATGTGGTAAATGTGCTGCAAATGCGCCGCTCGCGACCTGCGCGCTTGTTGTTCATGTGCGGTTATACGGCCTACGTTTGGTGCGCCTACGCAGGTCAGCGCATTTTCCAGATCTGGACACACCTTAACTAGGCTGAGGATGTTTTATATGTATAACAAAAATAGGAACTTCTGAAACTAGTAAATTCTATACCACTTCAGTAAAAATTTTTGTTAGTGCATAAAGTTTTGCATTTATATACTTTACAGTTAACAAAATCACAATGTGTTTGAATAAATCACAATGGATGTTTTCTTAACTTTTTAAGTGTCACAGATGTTTTTCAAAATAGACTATTCTCTGACTGAAAATACCTTGCAGCGCGTCATTCTGTTTCGAGTATAGTTTTATTCGTTTTTTTCTCTGGAAAACTGCTATTGTTTATTTCAGGCCTATGTAGACATTATTACATGTGAAATGTTTAGTCGACGTATTATTTAAAATTGTTTTGTAACTATGCTATGTGTTTAGCAAAGACAAAATGAAGTAAAATAGGCATACGCCCTTTTAAACAGGGAAGCACCACGGTCACAAAATATTATGGGTCCTAAGTAAGCTCATTTTATTTCTATAATATGTATGGCAGAATCGCCTAAACGCACGGAAATTCACCTTAGTTGACACAATATCGCTATAGTATACCGCCCAGATTTTGTAAGGACTATGAAGAAAACCGGTGTTAAGCATTCGTTGCTTTTCAATGAAGGCCCAAAGCTCCCCTGTACTTGATTCCTCTCAAAGTGTGGCAACGCACTTTGAGTCTAGAATTTTTATACATTCTAGTCACTTACTAGCAGGTGACACGTGGGTTTGCCCCTTGTACCATAATAAAGTAAATTACAAATCGATCATCGTAATAAACTGTCTTTATTAAGTAAATATCTATATTCAATACAGAAATCCATTTTTTTAGTTTTTATTCGGTCACTGATTCACGTAAATCAACGATTTCTACTAAAATTTTCAGAGACAACATGACAACAGCGAGGGTCCACCGACAGACTCGGACGCAGTGGTTCTTGGAGAAAGTCATGCAGTGAGTAGGTGTCAACCTTGCCGGTCCTCTTAGATCTATTACGTAAACATTATTTAAAAATGCTACGCTTGTGTCCCTTGTGCCTCCAAATCACAGAAATGAATTTAGGTAGAGCATCTGACTGTAAAAATCGTGTTGTAAATAATACCTTCTATTGTCGAAACAGTTTGAATCTTGATTTTATGATACCTAATACTCTGAAGATCTATTGGAATCTAAGGTTAGCAAACTGCCAGCTACAATATGATCTAGTCTCTGTTAGCTAAAGAAAAGGAATTTCATTTTCCCTAGTTGGTTTTCTCGAAGTATTTGCAAGATAGCATCTGTGGCTTTCTCTTACACCCGCTGAGTGTCCATGCCCATGTCCATGAGTGGAATACGCACAAAAAGGTGCATTTATCCATACTATCGAGAATATTGTTCCAGCTCAGATTACTTTGGTTCAGAGAATGCTGTATAACATATATGTTGCAGATTATTTTATTTTAAATATATACCTAATACCGTAATAGGTATTTCTGATTTAAATTTATTTCTGTGGTTTCATGTATTGACATTAAGTATCTTTTGTGTCCAAATCTTTGTAGTTTTTTTTGAAGATTAGACAACCAAAGATAGTTAAGTAATGAAGGTGTTTGTTTTATCTCAAAGGGACATAACTTGGTGCTTTTTGCATCATCTTCTGATTTATTTATATTTTATTATAACTTTGGAGTTACGCCCGCTATGACGCTATTTCCTTGTCACAACGTTTAACTTTTATTAATTGACGCAAGTGATGTGAAGTGATGCATAAACTACTTTCATGTATTTTTATGCAATCGAAGGAAGCGGAATAGCTACGTTATTAGTCATAATATAGTTGGCAAACGTAAAGTATCACGCGATGACCAATTTAACTAGACAATCTATTTTTATAATTTGGTCGTTTTTGGTGTTACCTGTGGTAATAATTTAATTACAAATTATTTTGAACTGGGCCTACAAATTACAATGTGATATGGTAAATTAATAAACCAATCTAAATTTAAACATTCTTGTATGTTGGTAGATACGTTCGCCCATCATTATCTGATTTGAATCTTTTTGCGATTATTAACTTAATTAATTGTCAATTTTGTACAAAATTGTGTATAGTTGCATAATTTTGTACAAAGTTGTATACAAGATGAGCGCTAGTCTTAAAACTATTTGGTTCTATATACATATCGATGGCGTCTCTGTTTTAAATGACTGAATATAATGCTCAAGACACAATTATTAATTTGCATATGTCTTTGTTTATTTCGAATGTCTTGAGTTTACTTCTAATTTAAATTGGTGTACGAGATTTTGTCAATAACTATTGTATGAAAGTGAAATAAATTAACGTACATATATATTAACATCACTTTGGATATGATATGAATATGGCTTTAAGTTTTAATTTTAAGACTCTTAAAATGTAAGTAAATCTCATTGGTATTTAGCATTAAATGTATCAAATAGATAAATCAGTTTCGATATTGTAAATAACTAGATAATTGTGACACCACCTGCTCGAGACTGATTTGAGCCATACAATTAGTATTGAATGTTGTAAACCTGACCATAGATTTTACCTATATAATATTGTTGTACATTGTTGAATTCAAAATATACAGGGTGTATGTAACAGATTTGTAAAGTCGTTTGTCAAATTTTCATTTTGCCCACCTCTCAGATTATAATTATTATCTATCCATTTGTATTATTTTTTTTATAAAATACTACACCTTGTATATGTGTTTAATAGCACTCTGTCCGTGTTTTAATTTGTGCCTAATAAATGGAATTGTAGAATGTGACGTCCAAATAATATTTAACAGTCGAATACTCATATGCTAGGATTGGCGGTTAAAACATGATGTAAGAAATGACATAAATGGTAATAACTTTAAAAAGGTGTATGTTAATGTAGTAAAAAGTAAGCACGACATTATGAAAGTCATATATGTAGAACTAGAATATGAAATGTTCATTCTCGTAGGTTACCTAATGATTATTATATAACAACAAACATTTTCAAATAAATATGCGTTAAAAATTATTTGTGCTTTGCATCATGCTTAATAGATCTTTGTTTTAATGGTGCAAACAAAAATAAAATCTCAGTTATGTAAATTTATAATTATGAAGTTCAGAAATACAAATATTATTACACAAGACAGTGATGTAATTATGTTTCGTACCAACAATACCTCTCAAAGAAACTTCAAATTTTTTAACATATTTTTTTCTAATTGAAATTTGTTTTTGCAATAATTTATTAAGGGGCACAGCACATCAATAGAAAATAGTTTAATATTGAAAATTTGTTTGCCAATGTCCTATGTGGTCAATATTATCTGAAAGAGTAAGAATGGTATGTTGTGATAGAAAACATGGACATAGACATTTTGTTTATTTTACATGTTTATATGAATCTGAAGTTGGCTGTGCCAACTGTGCGTTGGCAAAAAGAAACAAGTTTAATAATTCAGTTTTAATTGATGTTTTAATGTTCTATAAAAATCTGACTGGTGTCTGTCACTGTCTTATCATTTAAGTTTTTAACATTTACAGTAATATAATTATATTTCTTCAAATGTATTTGACGTGTTATAATATGAATCTCTAAATTTATAATTGTAGCATCTGTAATTGAAAGTTTTTAGTAAAACATCGTATAACTACAAATTTACAAAACTAATCTCAGTGCTATATATTGATCTAATCATAATTTAGTTTGTTTACGACATTTTATGTTCAATACTAAAACAAATTGTTATAATTTTAATACATCTGTTAAAAAAAGTTTACGTTGTGGTTTTTAGTATCGCTTATGATAATATCTAGTTGTTTTGTGACGTGGATGCCCGATATCCAACCGAACTGTCCAGGTTGGGTCCCATAGCCTCCAAAAACCCTTACAAGCTGTCCTGTTGGTTTGAATACCTGTACGCGGCAGTTGCCTGAATCTCCGACGAGAATATATCCCATTGGATCAACTGCTAGAACTTCTGGCTGCCTAAACTGCCCTTTCCTTTGTCCTGTAGATCCAAATTCGACTATTTTGTTCTTGTCTTGCTTATTATACACTTTGACCCTTCGATTGCCGCTGTCCAACACAATTACACGGTCGTTCGTGACCGCAACGCTCGTGGGCGCGTTCAGCTCCGTGCAAAAGATATCCTTGGTCGTCCAAAGCGTTGTAGCTTGAGAAGACTGGGGTTTAGTCGCCACGCCTATCTGATCGATGAATTTACCATCGGGTTGAATAATCTAGAAAGATATAAGAACATTATTTATATTTCATACGTACCATTTAAGATATATTGCAAGTGCGATACGACAGTTTTCATTATTATCCTACGAACCAAGTGGTAAACGTTTCAGTTTTTAAAAACGTCTTCCTAACACAAACTATATAGAATAGATTGGTAGACAAGTGTACTTTTATACTACGATACTGGGTACATTTTTCATTTCAGTTTTTATACCCTTAAATTGTTTAAATTAGCTGAGTGTGAATATTTAACTTAGACGTAATACAGCAAGGGTTATCTCGTAAAAGAAAAGTGTATGTTTGTAGATCAACATTTTTTCTAAACCCCGACTTTTCGACTCAACCGTATTCTAAATAATTAGGTACCTATAAAGTTAAAACTGGATAATACCCTGACATAAACCTGAAAGTCATGAAAGTAATAATAACTTCTAGTTACCTGTACTCTGTCGTTGCCGGTATCAACAACATAGATGTATTGGCTCGCGTTGTCAGTGGCTATACCTTCTGGTGACCTGAATGTACCCACTCGGCTGCCTTTCTGACCGATAGATCGTAAATACTCGCCATCTTTAGAGAATACGTGAATGCAGTGCTTCCATTTGTCTGTAATAATATAAATCCGTACAAAAGATAAATATTAGGGCATTTAAACACCTATAAATATAGTAGGTAAAACATAAAAATAGATGCTTTAATAGCGAACCAAATCTTAAATGAAAAAAGTATTCCCCTATTAACATCCTGAACTCATCATCAGACCTTATTACCAAGCCCAATTCTGTTGGACATATAAGATCAATTCAGGGGTTTTCTAGTAACCACTGTAAGTAGGTCTAGTTCTAGTCAACCAGCTGACTTCATGGTCAGAATAGATCTAAGATACAAAATTATAGTATTGCTATCTTAACTCTATATGCATACGAAGTTTCATTTTGATACAATCAGAAGTAGGCCGCCTTAACTTAAATTTTATATTGCTACAAGTGACACTAATAAAAAATCATGTTACAAAGAAATAAAAATTAAACAAGTACCTGTCACATAAATTTCTCCCAAACTCTTCATGAAAGCGATATGTACGGGACACATCATCTCATCACAGGATAGCCTGGTCACTGTCTTGCCTTGTGTGCGTTCCATGACCAGCACACTATGACTGTCCATGCCACACACGTACAGGTGGTTACTCCATGGGCTGACGCCCACACCACTGGGACGTGTTGTTTTACGCCATACAAAGTGGGGTTGGAAGTGACGAGACCTGGTAGGATAAATAATAATACCATGTATATATATTACTACATCTGACACACAACGCCATCTGGTTTCAAACTAATCAGAGCTTGTACTATGAAAGTTAAGATTGACTGATAGATTACCCCTATACCTACTTTTTAATACATACATATTGTACATATAAAACACACCCAAACTTCTACACAAATATTTGCAGATCATACAAAAATTTGTTCGGACACGGGAATCGAACCCGAGACTTTATCACAGATCCTAGATAAAGTAGAGACCTAGTGTATCTACATTTTTGTGTGTGTATGTATGACAGATTTTTAAGTAACAAATAATTATTGATAATAATAGTATAGTAATCAGCTTTGTGGCAACTGAGGTTTAATGAACATGTAAGTATACCACACAGAAGTTTTTTTACATTTTCACAACTTAACAATGAATAATCAATATTAATTAAAGTTATGTAGTAACAGCGTTATTTTAATTTTATAATTTCTCGGCTGGTCGCACAAGACAAGTTGCACGCGAGTGCATCGTGGATGCATTCACATTTTTATGTATTAGGAGATTTTCGTCAGTCGAGGTAAGTACGTATTTTGTAGTTTCACAGTTTGGTCGTTGACATCTAGATTCGAGTACAGTTTAAGTTCTTGTACCGTAACACTGGTTCAACAGAATTGTGTGTCGAATATGTGCCATTTCACCTACTGTGAGTCATGTTGTTAAATCCTAGGTAATTATGTTAATTATCACATTTGCGATGTGAAATCAGAAAATAATAATACTATTAACTGATACCTAACGTAAGGTTTGAAGATTACTTGGAAATCGATATCAGCGAGTACCTAGGCTTAAAATAATTATCACGTTCATACTAATCTCTTAACTTTAGAACTATCATTGTGCATTGTCCGAAATAAGACAAGGAATAATTTTGTTAGATTAACCAGGAACGTATTTCAAAACGTCATTAGCGAAATCTTATTTTTTTAATACGTGTGAATCGGATGAAAGACTTGGTCATTATATTTGTTGTACTAATGACTGCTTTCCGTGTGGTGACGGATTAAGAATGCGGAGTGTCACCATCTATTCATCCCGTGGGTGTCGTAAGAGTCAACTAAGGGAAACTAACTCCGCAGGACAACAGCACTGCAAAGAGAAGGAAAACTTGAAACAAACCCTATACCAACCCGTCCAGCGTGGTATAGTAGGCCAAAACCTCTTTTCTATAGAGGCCTATGTCCAGCAGTGGACTATTAAAGGCTGTTAATGAACGACTGCTTTGAAATTTGACAAAAAACATCAGAAATTTTATAACTGTCTACAGGATTTTTTAGATAAATATTTAAAGTACAAATCAAGATGCACACACTAATTTATTTTCATAGTAACGTGCAAAATCAGCCGTGCAACTTCGGTAAGATATTAATTTTGCTAAATTTCTGGCAAGAATGTCGACAGATGTCTTTCTTTATAGGTATAATGTTTGAGTGAATGTGAATGGCTTTAATGTTTGAGTTATGTGAGATCACATACCTAACTGATCTGTTCTTGCGCTGCGGCAATCAGAAGGTTGGAGATTGTCATCATCAAACGGGTGAGTGCTTTACTTATTTATAATTGGCATTTGCGTTTGAACAAGTGAACCGTCATTGTTCTTAAGTATTCAGTTTATTGAAAAGAAAAACAAGATGCATCAGTTCCCGTCACACATTGCCTCACGTCCAAAGTGTGACTAGAATGAAAAAGAAGTAAAATCGTTTACAATGCGTTGTTTGCCAGTGAACATTACTAAATACTTTGAAAATTATTACCATGTAGAAAGCTCAGAAACATTTTTTTCGTGTAACAAAAGTTAGTTAAAACCGTTGATTCAAAAATTAGGTTTACAACGAATATTTTCTATAATTTTACTATTCCTTTTGCTAGCTGCAGGCTACTTTCATACTATTCGGCACCATACCACTTTTCGGTCGACTTTGAATACAGCTGGTTTTTGTTTTGTTAGTGTGTGAGTGGGTGAATCCGTGCGGAAAGATAACGAAATATGTATACTGTCTAGATATGTAGTATATTATTCGTAACCGATAAGCCTGTATGAAAGGTTTAATGAGAATGGCGCTCTGCCATCTTGTATACCCTGGATGTCAATAATGCGTGAGAGGGTATGTATCTATATATACATATATAATGTTAAAATGGCTTGTGTACGCTTCAAAAACTTAAAAGTTACACCGATTAAGCTCAAATTTTGACACAACCTGCTTCAAAGATTGTTTTCATCTATTTTTCGCGTCTGTTTTGTTTCTCATTTCTCACCAATCTCACCACAATGTGCCACAGCGAAGTGTGGCAGGGTACAGCTAGTATTCAATAAAATATTCATACGAAAATAAATTACAGAATGTGAAAAACGACATCAAACACAATTTGCTCATGCATTCGAATCGTACAAAATATTTTGGAGTTGAGGATTGTGGACATAGAAATCTTCTTTTGAATTTGTCGGTAACAGATCTCATCGTCGATATTTCTAAATTGGCTGTTCTTACTCTGCAAAAGCCTTCACGAAGAAAAATAATACTTAGATACGTATTAATGAAAGATGATAGAATGACTCGTGGTGTCAGTGTTTATGAACACGCACACGAAAAGCACAGATGCTTGATTGTAAAAAAAACGGTAATTCGGGAATGACACGCATAATATTGAACAAAACCGAATTGTGATTTTATTGGTCTTACCTACACTGCCTTACACACATAGATTGTGTGGTCATTTATCGTATGCTACCTAATATTATATTTCATGAAAGCCCTATTTTCTTCACTTATTAGGTAATTGTCCATTTCCCTTAGTGTTGTGGTCCCATACACAGGTAGATAACGCTACTGCACTTCGCGTGCAAAACAGATGTAAATAGCCGTTGACGCTGCCGATCTCGCGCCATTATCAGGCTGCATCCAAATTATGATGGAATTAAATTGATTAATTATCTATAATTATAGATAATTTATGTTAATGTTCTAAAATAAAATAAAAACCTGCAAATTATTTAATTTATACGAAAAGCAAAAACTACATGGGTGTTTGTGTTTTTTTTTTGCTCAAAGGGATTTACCGCCCCGTCAAAAAAAAAAAGGCGATCACTAGTAAGTGATCGCCTTTTTTTTTTGACGGGGTGGTAAATCCCTTCGGATCTCCTGTTCCTCGGGGCTAGGAGCTAGGAGTATGTGGTGATTCCACTAAAAACCACCCCGACGGACGGCCTCAGGTGTCCTTCTCTTGGAGGACCTCGACCATGTTATTTCAGGTCCTCCCCGAATTGACACAATGCCTAGTCAGGCCCTATCCCAGGTGAAAAACACTTCCCACCTCAATCGCGACGTGGCGGCCAATTTCGTCTTAATGCAATCAGGCCGCCATCCTATCCCCTACCGCAGCATTCAATCTGCCACCAGAGGTCCCCACTCTCAGGGGGGCCGCGGCCCCGTCGGCGGCTGGTATGGTCGTCGACGTCCTCAACGCTCGGGATCAGCCCTCTCCCGATCCCGTTCAGAGGTCTCTTTCTAGAGCATTACAGCTTCACAGAAAGAGACCACTGCGCCCGATACCTCCTCACCCGCCAGCATGGCAGCAATGATTGCTGGCGGGGACAGGCCTCTTCTGATTTGGCCTACCAGGACTTCGCGTTCAGACGCCCACGCGGGGCAGTCTTCCAGCGTGTGCTTGCCTGTGCCAGTCCCAGTAGGCTTACTAGTGATCGCCTAGTACGCGAATTTCGACCTTAATTCTGTAACTATTTTTTTTATGTGCGTTATCTTTACTCGTGCTCTTGTAATCTATGGGATGATTTTGTGAAAAGGGACGGAAGTATGTAACAGGAAGCCGAAGAAGTGCATGCTATTAAGTTTGAGCTATGAACACTTGCGGAGGTGGAGTTGGCCTTCAGATGGTACACTAATACCTTAGCAAATAATTCATAATAAAACTGGAACACTAAAACAGGGAACAGTAAAAGGAGCTCTACTTGAAATTTATATTCATAAGCCATTCTTTATCCACTATTGTGTATTCATTATTACTTACTTGACACTGACAGCTTTGATGGTTAGATTATAGTTTAAATGTCAATTTGAAGTAAGTTTCATAAACACTTCATTGTCACGATTGTAATCGTTTTATTTTACTTTGAGTACTTTATAATATTAATTTACTTACCTATAATGCATAACTAAGTTTTCCTCACTTTCAAGAGGGTTATTTTGTTTAGGCGATTCTAACACCGGGTCATCTGATTCGGCATCCACTGGTGTTGCGGAGTCCATCTCTAAACGGAAATTCTCTTGGTCAAATATGAATCGTTCGGTGTCCCATTTTGATACATCTGTTAGAAGCTGTACGGCATTTTGATGGAGATTTATAAAAGTAGTCACCTAAAACACAAAATAGTTAAATTGTTCCAAGAGATCAATTAGTATTTCTTTATTTATGTTCTTTTGGTTTCGGACTACTTTTAGTCAGCGACTAGCTGTTGATTTAGTCCAGAGACGCTTCTCCTTCATAAAGTTGTAATGAAACACGTCTGGGATGTGGTCATTTAATTTTTTATTTTCATAATATCAAGGGATCGCTTCTGTCATCGGCTTCGCTCGTGTAAAAAGTAAGGATCGTTTTTACACGATGTTTGACTCATTTATTTTAAATTATTTTTAGCATTCAACCTCCTTTCTGAGGAGAGGTATATGTCCAGCAGTGGACTAGTATAGGCTGTTGATGATGATGATGATGATTCAGCTCCTATGTGTAATGCTTAAAAAAAATTACTTATACCCGTGGTTCACCTAATTGTTACCCTTGCTTGGGTAGATAGGGAGGGAGGTCGCGTCACCTACCGACTGACGCAGGTACTCACTGGGCATGGTTGCTTCGGTGACCACCTGAATCTTATTGGACGCGAGGAGACGGCATAATGCCAGTACTGTGTAGCCGACTGGGACTCCGCCCAGCACACGATGGAAAACTGTCCCGTATCTGAACCGGCATCTGAACGCGAAGTCCTGGTCGGCCAATTTGGACGAGGCCTGTCCCCGGCAGCAATCATTACTGCCATGCTGGCGAGTGAGGAGGGATGGGGCGCAGTGGTATCTTTTTGTGAAGCTGTAATGCTCCAGAAAGAGACCGCTGAACGGGATCGGGAGATCACGCATTTATCCTCTGAGGCGGCGGTACCAACTGGAATGGGACCCCATTCCAGTTGGTACCTCGTCGTTAAACCAGTGTAACCATATAGAACGGACGAAAAAAGTTAATCTATTTTTGGGGCTCTCAAATAAGAAGCACGGTTTCCTTATTAAACGCTGCCCTGTTACTAACCTGTGCCCTTAATAACTATGTAGTAAAGCCATACTATATGTAGGCTTAAGGCTTATACAGAGTCAACAATTTGTGACATCCCTTGGATTGAAAAAGAATTAATACTTAATACGATAAAAAAGAATCCTTTTACTGTTATTTAAAGATTCCTCAAAATAATTAGGTACGAGTATTATGATCGTATTAAGTTTTAACACGAAACTATCAAATTATCTAAATCAGATCGGTTATCGCCAAAATATCAAAAAACCTAGTATAATCCCTTGCCATATTCCATTATTTTAATACTGCAATGAAGATAATGGTGCTGTTTCACCAATAAGTGACTATGTGAAAGCACGTAAAATCTTATGTTGTAATATTTCTTTTATTAAAATATAAAGGTTTTATTATTACAATACCTATAAAACATTTAGATTACCAAACTTCCGACATTTGCCTTCAATTCCATAAGAAGTGCTTAATATTGCTGGCAATTAATTACCTATATACATCAAGTCACGCTCATTTGGTACGTTTTGTACCTATTAGTTACATATTAGTAAATACATAATACACAATCTTCACAATTATCAGAATAATATTGCATACATGAATTGTTGTATCAGTTATTTAGGTGATTCGCTTAGATTTAATTACACAGATAAGATAATAGTTTCCAACAATTGTTATTTTTATTCTACATACTAAGACTTGAATGTTACGTTAGTGCCGTTATTTATTAAAAAAATTAAAGGTTTTTATCAATATTAAGATAAGGGATTATGTTTTAAGATAAATGTATAAGTTGAGATTTAGCATCCGTAATATTTGTCAGATACGTCTTTGTTTAAACAATTTTTCAATCGAATGATGCCGATCTTGTCTACAGTACAGAAGCTGCAGCAGCGTAATGGCTAATATTGGTTACATTTGCGAGCCTCATCTAGTACAATAAGGATCCCACTTCCAGACACATTAATATTGCTTTATATTTATACCAACTAATCTGAAACTCTGTCTGAGTCTCTTAAAAGGACATTGATGCTCGGCTCCTATCTGTTGTAGCGTGATATTATATAGCCTTCCTTTTAATGGGCCTTCTAATACTAAAAGAATTTTGCAATAATTAAGATTGGTTACAGTTATTGGAACCAGTAGTTCCTAAGATAAGCTCATTCAACCAACCCAACAAACTATTCAGTTTTATGATATAAGTGAAGGTATGATAATACAAGTCGCGACAGACGTAAGTAAAATTAGACGAACACGGTCCTCGAACTCAATTTAATGCTTTGCCCCAGAAAAGTTTTATATTTCTTGATTCTTATAATTATGTATCTAAATTTCATTGAATTAATAAAAAGATAAAAAATTCTTTTGATACAGGTCTGTTTTCAAAGACCTAGTCGAATACAAAAACAGAACCCAGTTTTAAACTACTATTGTATCATTTCTTTAAAGATGGCTTAAACTAAGAACTATCATCTCGTTTAGTTAGTTTAGTTCGTAATTGTACTCATCTTAAGTAGGCCGATCGTGGAGTTAGCTAAATCTCGATTGGCCCAATACAAAGATCGGTCTAGGACATTTCATTGTGTTAGCACAACAAACAATAATAAAATTGGCCGATTGAGATCTGACTAATTTCACGATCGTGAAATTACCCAGATCTCATTTGGTCTACGACATTTATATTGGAAACTGCAGTTGATTTTGGACCTACATACACATAAGTTAACTACTTATTCGATATATATGTCGCCGGTAAATAACAAGAACCGCAAATGTATAAATTGCCTAGGAAATTTATAAACCTTCTAAACGAGATGTATCATATCGATATAACCATACCTTTTCATTATCGTCATTGATGTCATTGATATCCATTGCCCTGATTGCTACTGCCCTCGCTTCATCTAACGAAGTCTTCAGTGCTAAGGCGGATAAATCTGCCGATTTTTTTAAATAGTCTGTCTCGTTGAGCATGCTGTCTTTACCTTCGAGTATAACTGCTATTTTCTCTTCTGCGGCAATATTTATTCTTTCTATTATTCGTTCGCAACGATCCTGGAATAGATTTGTGACGTAATTAATATACCTACTCAGGATTTTCTTTGTATATATTTGACAGTTTTGAAAAACTTAATATGAGACGTTAATTTTATGCGAAACAAATATATTTTTGGTTCTCAATATGTTGTTTATTTCACGAGTTATAGTCATGATTAAAACACTTTCTTTTGAGCTTTTAGTTTTTGCCTTTAAATGCATAGCGGTTTTCTGGTTTTTATTCGCCATTTTCCTCGTTTATAATATATGCTTCAACCAAACAAGTTTATATTCTCTGAGCTATAAATATTCAAGTCACATACCTTATAATGTTCAATTTTGTGTTCGAGATTTCTGTCGGCGGTTTCCAGTTGCTTCACAATTGACTTCAGCTGTATCCGCATATCATCCAAATGTTGTGCCCAACACACGCGACAGAATTTCTAAAAGCGTTTTGACGGTAAGCTTAATAGTTGTGGTAAGTTGTACGAGTTCATATCAGTGAATAGGGTTCAAGACCAAAAAGGTCTAAGTACATATATAATTTTCAATATAATTGTTCTGAATCTTGGTATTTAATTCTTTGTCAAAATCTTTAAAGGTGCGTATTTTTCTAGTTGTTTTAATAATAGAAAAGATAAATAGATACTATAATAATTAAGTCACAATTCTGGCATCGAGCTTTTCCTAGTCTTTATGAAAAAAAAAAACATACTACATTGGTGTAGGTGTAATAAAATGATACTAAATAAGTATTAAGCTTGTTTAATTTTTGTTTTCTTAAATAAGAGGTTTCATATCTAAAATAATATACAAACTCAACTTCACAACACATCCGAAACAGAGTTAAGAAGGTTCTGGACATAACAAAATCAAAATAACAACATTTAAAATAAAGTAACATTAATTTATTCAAAATCTTACTTTTAAAATGAGGTTTTGAAAAAGAATTTCATTTTTTTTCTTGCAATTTAAATGCGAGGCAATTTAAAATGAGGATAACCGAACTATTCAGATCTGTTGATAGTCTGCAGACACTCAAGTCAAGGTCACCTTATTATGTCATTTGATAAAATAAACTCGTTCACGCTCACTTGTGAGATTTGAAGCAGACAAGTAAAAATTAAATCTTACCAGTTTACAATGTATACAAGAGGTGATGTCTTCATTGTTACATATAGTTTTACAGTGCGCACACCTAGAACCCACTGCGAATAAATCTACACTTTGTGGTGGGTTACTCGGGGATGTGGAAGACGGCGTCCCTGGCGGTGAATCTGTACTTTTAGGTCTAGTAAGAGTGTTTGTACCGTTGATACCCACTAATTGCAGCAATGAATCTATGTATAAATTCGAAGGCAAATTCTCTAAAAAGTTTTCACCCTGAACTTGAATTCTTGTCCTGCATATAGGACAGTCGAATATTATTTGATCTAAAAACGAGACAGGCGGTCATTTTATATATTTACATGGTTATTAGTCATAAGATGAATGATTATGGTTTACCGGCAATGTAGACAGACAGACACGCCATACAGAAAGTGTGTTGACACGGTAACATCTTTGGGTTGTGTAGTACTTCAAGACACAGAGCACATTGTACTAGTTCTTTGATGCCGCTTGCAGAAAACCTATTGGAAATGTTCGAGCTATAATAATTGAAAAAAAATACTATTATGGCATTATTCCTACTATAAAATATTATACTTACATTTATAGTAAGTACATACAATATCAATTCGACAAAACAATCCGTGGCGTCTTTAATTTAAGAAAAACCCCCAAGTACCTACTATGCGATATCAAAGTTTCTTAGATAGACTGTTGTAGACTTTTAAGGGCTTCAACTAGCTGTGATGATTGCCACAGATGTTTGTATGACAACGGGGACCGACCGATTGACCTGAAGACTGACTGACCTATAGCAGAAGGTGGATTTCTTTTGACGAGTCTAACAAATAAGGCTTGGTAACGATGATTGGATGATGAACTGAGAGGTTCGATGGTGGATTCTTTTCTTTCTTTTCTTACATATTTTTTTTTTACAAATATATAAATTGTTGTTTTTACACAACCCGCGTTTGTTGTTATAACCGCGGGCAACGCCGCGGGGCAAAGCTAGTCTAAAAAAAGTAGCCTAAGTTACTCCTTATATCATCAGCTATCTGCCAGTGGAAGTCCGGTCGAAATTGGTCCAGCCGTCCCAGAGATTACCCGGAACAAACAGACAGACAGACAAAAATTGAAAAAAAAAATATTTTGGCATATGTACCGTGTAAACATACATATGCATTTAGTAAAAAGCGGTTATTTTAATATTACAAACAGACACTCCAATTTGATTTATTTGTATAGATTTTTAATGTATAACAGTAAATATATTTAGGTAAGTTTCATGGCTATTGTTCATAGTTCGTCTAGTGGTTAGTGGCATATTATGTATTTAGAAATGTTTAAGTATGTCTTTAAGCATTCTGGTTATCATAGCACAGGCTCTGCCTAGTTTTGGGATCAGACTGCCGTGTGTGATGTGAGTTTTTTTTTTCATTTTAAAGATACTCAATTTTTGTCACAGACGGTTAGCTTTCTTTTTTTTTGAATTGGTCGTCTAGACCAATTGACTAAATTAGATGTCTACAGAAAATAGTAAATGGGACATTCGGCTTATTAAAATATTATGCGCGAACAGATGTAACAACATCGATGAATATAATTAGAGATGTAAGTGGTACTTACTTTCTAGGCTTTGATTCTGAAATAGAATTTACTGTCCTCGTTACAGCTAGTGACGAAGGTGTCACATGAGACCGAGATAGATTGTCTCTCTTACTCTGAAACCTTTTCAAAGTAAAAAACTTCACTTTGTCAGCCATCGTAATCCAGTTTACTCGTGAACGTATTAAAATACACTGAAATCCAACGAATTACACATAATTCAAACATTATCAGATATACCGGTAATTATGTAGTTATCGTTTAGATTTAAGTTTGATTAATGAACGACGTACCTATTCTAAACAGTAGATAAAACTTCGGTAAAACGATTTTTTATTTATCAAAATAAAAAATTATTTATGTTTGCGTCAACTGAATATAAAGTGAGCCCTGAGAAATCGAAACTGGTGGGTGGCGTAAAGATGCATTTCCTCTCGTAATAAAACCGAACGTATAGCATTGATCCTCTTCAACGATATTGTACATTTTGTTTGAGAAAGTTATCAAAATAAATGTAGGCTTTTAGGTTGCCATATTTTAGGGGGAGGCCGATGCATTACAACGGTAAAAACAGGTGAAGTAAATGTTGAGCCCGAGGCTCCTTGCCAGCTTTGGTAACATTAATATAAACCAGTCTGTGTATTCTTTATTCGCACACGCAGTGTTTTTCTATTTTATGGTTCTGTTAATCTCTTGTCATTATTCTAGTTGGGGTTGTGTGACCGGTTAATACATTTTTTTGCTCACTCGAATAAGCAAGCTCTGTGTACACCTGGTACTTGTCAATTAGTTTTCTTATACTGTTTAGTCAAGATCTGCTAGTCAAATTAATTAAAAACATATGTATTCATGTCTTTTCACACAGTTTCACACTTCTTTAAAAGTCTAATTCTCATTTATTCATGGTTTAAGCTGTTAGTAAGCTAATTACAATTATTCATCGGCCATGTCCATGGCTATTGTATAAGTAGTTTGTATGGCTTCGAAAGTTGACGGGAAGTTACTTGCTTTCAAAATGATTATAAAAACAATTATCTTGATACAATAAATACATTATAATTGTGTTATGTAATTTAAATCAATGTCATCGGAGGGTTGGCTCCTATTACCTTTTTATGTCTATTAAGCGGGCGGAATATGAATGCATAGCCTCTATCGCTTCAAGTATATTAGATGCTTGTTAAAATCAGGTAGTAGGACATCTCTTGTATGACAAGCAACTCAGTGCAACTAACACACTTTAAACCAGTTTCGAAAAAAACTGTTATTTTTTCATTTCCAAGTTAAAAAAAAACTTATAGCACAATTAACACTCCTATTAAGTTTTACTTATATCCAAAACAAAATCAATAGGACAACACTACAATGTTAATATCAATAGACTAAGTGGTATTTTGCTAGACTGACTTATTTAGTCAGTCTACATTTAAAAACAAAAAAAAATTAAAATTTTGTTACAAATATAAACATACTACTGTACAAACAAAAATGAAAAAGTAAAATTTACTATTTACGAGTATTTTTACTATTGTGTTTGGGACAGTAGAGCAAACAACAGAAAAACCTTACAAACAAAACTGAGATACAAAAGACACGTCAAGTGACGCCAAGATTAAAGAAGAAACTTATTTTTATTTATTACAAATCCGGCAAATTCTGAAGGACGGACGCAGTTTCCAGAAAAACAAGTTTTTTCGATTTCAAGCTTGGAAATCAAAGCATTTCATTATCACAGTATTCTAAAGAAACAAAAAGTCTAACTAGTTTGAGTATATATTTGAAAATCTACGAAATATGATCTGTAGCAGTCATAAAAAATCATTTTTACATTTTAGTTTATCAGTGTGATGACGAATCCGTTGAAATAAATCCTATACCAACCGGTCTGGCAAGCATAATATAGCTGAGTGTTGTGAGTTCGATCCCCACACGGGACCACTGAGTCTGGGTGTTCTTTGTGTCCGTTTCATGAATATATTCAGGATGTATTTCTAGTGCGGGAGTAGTTTAAAAAAAAACAAAGGCTGTTGATGATGATGACGACGACATTGTAGTTTAGGTTTTTAAGCCATGATGAGCTGTTGGAGAAGTCTGTTAAGATCTTTTGACAACGTAACGAAGACCACTGAGAAATTGATACTTATTCTTTTTCCAATATAATAGTAACCAACGTAACTTTTTTAACAGTAGCTATCTGTTGTAACAATCTGTAGTAAAGTTGTAGTAATCTGTTTAGTGTAATCATTCCGGTACAATTAGTAATAAGCTGTACCTACTACAATATAACGAACATATATACGCCAATTTAATTTATTTGATTTATACCAAATATTGTGTGATGAGCACGGTCATTTGTTCTGTGTCTGAGTGTAATTTATCTATCAGCATTCTGGTTACAATAGCACAGGCTTTACCAAGTTTGGGATAAGACGGCCGTGTGTGAGATGTGTGAGGTATATTATAATTTGCACAGAAATGTTAATTTAACAATAACGTTATGCTCATCATCATCATCAGCCTATCGCAGTCCACTGCTGGACATAGGCCTCTCCCATTGCATGCCACTTAGATCTATTTTGGGCTAACCAATAGCAAATATAAGAATATTAACAAAATTGTTATCGACTGTATTTTTTAATTCCCTAACTTGCCACATGTAACGATGGTATCTTTTCTTCTGAATGGAACTAAACGGGAAGTATATCTTTCTAAGAAAAGGATTTTCCATATCGGTTCACAAATAACGAAGTCCTCAAGTAACAAACATAATAAAATACAATCGAGTTGAGTCTACCCCTTTTTTGAAGTCGGTTTAAAAAGAATGACAATAAAGACAGGCTTATTCATTGTCGTATTTTTCATTCATTAAGAAATTATAAAGGAATGCGCATGCAAAACTTCTATAAACTTTAAAAAATAATTCATCAGGAGTTATTTAAAAACAGATTTTTGTTCGAATTTGAGCTGTCAATTTTACTGCCCGAGTGAAGGTAAATAGGGTCCCTAAAGTGCCATAGACAGTTTGTACACACATCTGGTGGCGCTATTATAGTATTTACCTATCTTGGTGATCAATAGATGTACATAACAGGTTAACCCTGGCGTTGAAGATTGAGAGAGAATACATATCTACTTTTATATTTCTTCACAGTTGATTCTCAGTTTTGCATGCAATGCAAATAGAAACTTTGTAATGTAAGTATTTTCTCCAAGTACAAGGTTGGTATAAGCTATATGATTATCATAACCTAAGCTATATTTATTTAATTCAGAATGAAATTAGCATAATAAATAAATAAACGATGAATGTTAGGGATGTGTTAAACTAACCGTGTCACGTGAAGCGCTCGAACCTACTCGACAGATCAGGGTGAACAACTTTGCGCTTGCGCTGCCAATTATATCGCCGCGTCTGTTTATGTCTGTATGTATTTATATTCTTATTCTGGCTTTGAGAAAATATTAAGTAAAGTAACACAGTTATCTCTGTAAGGAAATTCACGGAAGGCAGAGCGAAATTATTGTTTATACATAGTCCAACCGACTTAAATCTAACAGCATTGCCTAGTAACTGGAGAGACGGTATATAAAACACAAGTCTCTGTCTGGCCCTAACCACCGTTGGCGATTACCCCATTAAGCCTTTGATGAATATAGATCCAATAAAGTAGAAACGCAAAAAGAACAGAGCTTGCCATGTTATAGGCTTCGCACCCGCCTCGGAAACATCTCTCACAAAGAAAAGAGAGAACAGAAGTTAGCACATTCGTTCTTTAGGGAAGATCAGAGAAGATTAGCTTAAGTAGGTTCATACAATCGGGGACTCTCGGAGTGGAAGCCCAGCACGAGATTCAATACTATTAATTTATTAAATGCAAGAAATATCCATAACTTTTTGGTTGGCACCTCAAAAGTACCTACTTACCAATAAACTTATGGCTTCCAGTATTTTTGTAATAAATGCAACTGCTTCCGAAAGTGTCATTTTGATAACACCTTACTATGTAGTCGATGTAATCAGTTGATAATGTGTTTTTATTGGGTACTATGTTTGGGGCTCGGGACGAGACTATAAATTTAATTGTATTAATTTTACGTTACGTTACAGAACCCTAATAAGGGTTTCGTGAATAAAAATACATTTAGACGAAATTTATTAATCAATCTAATAAACATATATTTACCAGTGGTAAGGTATTAAGTAATCTTGATAACAGCACAATGCTTCCGCAATATCTAGAAAGTATATTTAAAATGAGAAAAAGAAACAAAATTGTAGGTCAGTAAATTAGAGTTAATTTTTAATTATCAGCTAATGCACCGTAATAAAAAGCAATAGAATCACTTAAATATTTAATTTAAATCTATGTATTTTATTAGGGTCAAACTACATTTTAACTTCTTTTGTGCAGAAATCGCCTTGGGTACCACCCACCGGTGGTTATGTCGGACTCTAACAGACTAAAAACCGCACGCCATCTCAGGTACTAGTAGCCAGATGTACCCTAGCAAGGAAATCCCTGGAACCCGACGTATCCCGGGCCATCTGCGGCATGTAGATGATTCCCTCGTGTGAACCATGGAGTGAGTTTCAAGGATGACATATAGCCTCACCTGTCACCCCCAGGCCTGCACCTATGGTGGACGGAGGTCGTTCTGCGACCTCGGGCGCCTAAGTCGTCTGCGGTACCTGGCCCGTTCCTAGGTCTGGCAGACAGGAAGAGTTCTAAATCTCTTCCGCATTTTACCTAGTCACACATTCATATGTATGTAGGTATTATTAAATATGGAGTGGAACTACAAAATATTGCAGAAGATTTTATTTGTTCTTAATTAAAGTGTGAAATAGTTACGGCGGTTTTACCAAACTAAGTGTGACCTAGTCATTATTAATTAATTACCAACGTGGTTTCCAATAACATAGAAGCACGACCAATCTAATCGTAAGATACGATTAGTTTATCTATGTTATTTTATTTAAAAACTAACAATCTTGTCTTCCTTCTAAAATATACAGGATATTTATTGGGTGTCTGGGGCCTTATTTACGTAAAAATATCTATATTGCATCTCGCTCTTAAATTTTATTTATCTTTCAGTTTGTTATTCACGGTGTCTACTTTTTCACTCTGTAATCATCATCATGATATCACCTTTC